AGGCAGGACAATTTGGGATATTGGTCCAGATCAACTTCTCTGGCAGCCATCACCCCATCTACCACCAGAGGGCACCTTTATCATCAAGCTATTCCTTCATGGGACCTCCGGCTTCATGGAATTTCTATGTGCACATTAAATTGCACTTCCGGTGAGTGGGCAATTTTTCTACACCTTCATGTTAGGATGCTGGAATATACCCATTTGGATTGAAGTTATTTATACTCCATCACTGGAGTATACCTTTTGGACTGATATTTTACCACCTTGGACTGTTTAACATTCAGTTTATAGGACTTTTCCATTTCTGTCATATTTTGCCATACTTTAGATAGTGTGTTTTATTTGTATAGCGCTGCACACCCTATTTTCAATCCATTCCTTTATCCATCCTCCACCCATTCCTCCATCCATCCCTTTATCCATCCCTCCACCCATTCCTCCATCCATCCCTTTATCCATCCCTCCATCCATCCCTCTATCCCTTTATCCATCCATCCATCCATCCATCCATCCCTTTATCCATCCCTCCATCCATCCCTCTATCCCTTTATCCATCCATCCCTCCATCCCTTTATCCATCCCTCCATTCATCTCTCCATCAATCCATTCATCCATCCATCCATCCATCCATCCCTCCACCCATCCCTCCATCCATCCCTTTATCCATCCATCCATCCATCCATCCATCTCTCCATCAATCCATTCCTTCATCCATCCCTCCCTCCATCCATCCATCCCTCCCTCCATCCATCTGTGTATTTTTGCTGTTGCAATAAATGTAGCAGTTTGCAGATTTTCCACTAGAGGGCGCAGACACTTCAATAACACCGACTGAAGTCGCTCCGACCTTAGAAAAGGTTCCTGAGCTCCTTCCAGGTGACTTCTCTCGACGACTCGCGCCCATAGACTTCAATGGAAGTCGCCTCCAAGTCGGATCCTCCTCTATATTGATGTGCGACTTCTCTCCGACTCGCGCCCCCCCCATAGACTTCAATGGAAGTCGCCTCCAAGTCGGATCCTCCTCTATATTGTTGTGCGACTTTTCTCCGACTCGCGCCCATAGACTTCAATGGAAGTCGCCTCCAAGTTGGAGCATCCTCCTCTATATTGATGTGCGACTTCTCTCCGACTCGCGCCCATAGACTTCAATGGAAGTCGCCTCCAAGTCGGATCCTCCTCTATATTGATGTGCGACTTCTCTCCGACTCGCGCCCCCCCATAGACTTCAATGGAAGTCGTCTCCAAGTCGGATCCTCCTCTATATTGATGTGCGACTTCTCTCCGACTTGCGCCCCCCCATAGACTTCAATGGAAGCCGCCTCCAAGTCGGATCCTTCTCTATATTGATGTGCGACTTCTCTCCGACTTGCGCCCATAGACTTCAATGGAAGTCGCCTCCAAGTCGGATCCTCCTCTATATTGATGCCATTTGGACCCGACATCACAGGAAGATTACCCAGAATTCCCTGAAAGTCGCTTCAAAGTCACATCAAAGGAGTACTCGAGTCACCAGGAAGTGGCATTGTAAGTCGCATCACCTTCAGGTCGCAGCAGTGGTGAGCCGAGATTACAGGACTTCTATAATCTCTGTCCTCCGTCCCATTAGGGAGACTTCCCTTCACTTCCTATCTTCCCGCAGACACAACAGGAAGTGAAGGGAAATCCCTCCAAAGTGGGGGAATGCCTGGCTGTCACCATTGCTGGTGGTGTCCCCATTGGAAGACATTCCTTCTATTCCTTCTCTGGTGACAACCCAACATGTGGGATTTCCCTTCACTCTCACTAAACAGGGAGGATAGAGAGAGGGGGAATCTGCCATGATGGGGGCCCTGATGGCAATACAAACCTGACCGGGGGGGTCACCCCTCTCCACTCCACCCACAAACAGTTCTACTAGAAAGCCGGGCTCCACCCAAAAGGGGGCGTTCCCTTTTTATGGCCTCCTCCACCCAACTGCAAGGGTAGTAAACAGGGGCGGAGTGACAACTCATGGGGCCCCCGGGCAATAGGGGATCATGGGGCCCCTGTATCCGCCCACACTCAAACCACACCCAAAAAAGCCTGTGAAAGGTACCAGGGACATCTCATGGGGCCCCTTTCTGACCTCGGGCCCTCAGGCAGTGCCCGAGTTCCCAAATGGTCAGTCCGCCCTCTGGTAGTAAACCCTTCCATGTACCCTGTAAAGAGAATGGCTTCAGCTGATACTCGGAGATCCTCCTACATACGTTGTACCTGTTTATCTGCCATCTTCTTCATGTCCCTTCAAAATGCAGAATTTATAGAGCTCGTCTGAGAGTTCAGAAAACAGGGTGGCGGAGAGCTGCTCACTCTGCAGAGCTCAGTTTGAAGAGTTCTAATAGCTGATTGGAGGGAAATGACACGCCCCCCCTCTCTCCCCCCACCTTCACACAGGAACAGAGCTGAAGCCGTCAATTACAGGCTGTGTGCTGCAGCTCCCATCCCTGTCACCATTTTCTCGCTCGGTGTCAGGGGAAACAGGGTGGCGGAACGTCACAAACCTGGCCGTGTTTGTTGCCTTTTCTTGAATTGTGAGAAATTACAAGGGGTCCTGTGTTCAGCAACATCTGGGGGGGGTCCTGTGTTCAGCACCATCTTGGGGGGTCCTGTGTTTCAGCACCATCTGGGGGGGTCCTGTGTTCAGCACCATCTGGGGGGGGTCCTGTGTTCAGCACCATCTGGGGGGGTCCTGTGTTCAGCACCATCTGGGGGGTCCTGTGTTCAGCACCATCTGGGGGGGGGGTCCTGTGTTCAGCACCATCTGGGGGGGTCCTGTGTTCAGCTCCATCTGGGGGGGTCCTGTGTTCAGCACCATCTGGGGGGGTCCTGTGTTCAGCACCATCTGGGGGGGGTCCTGTGTTCAGCACCATCTGAGGGGTCCTGTGTTCAGCACCATCTGGGGGGTCCTGTGTTCAACTCCATCTGGGGGGGTCCTGTGTTCAGCACCATCTGGGGGGTCCTGTGTTCAGCACCATCTGGGGGGGTCCTGTGTTCAGCTCCATCTGGGGGGTTCCTGTGTTCAGCGCCATCTGGGGGGGGAGGTCCTGTGTTCAGCACCATCTGGGGGGTCCTGTGTTCAGCACCATCTGGGGGGGGGGGGGGTCCTGTGTTCAGCACCATCTGGGGGGTCCTGTGTTCAGCACCATCTGGGGTGTCCTGTGTTCAGCACCATCTGGGGGGGTCCTGTGTTCAGCACCATCTGGGGTGTCCTGTGTTCAGCACCATCTGGGGGGGGTCCTGTGTTCAGCACCATCTGGGGTGTCCTGTGTTCAGCACCATCTGGGGGGGTCCTGTGTTCAGCACCATCTGGGGGGTCCTGTGTTCAGCACCGTCTGGGGGGGGTCCTGTGTTCAGCACCATCTGGGGAGTCCTGTGTTCAGCACCATCTGGGGGGGGGGTCCTGTGTTCAGCACCATCTGGGGGGTCCTGTGTTCAGCACCATCTGGGGGGGGGGGTCCTGTGCTCAGCACCATCTGGGGGGTCCTGTGTTCAGCACCATCTGGGGGGTCCTGTGTTCAGCACCATCTGGGGGGGGTCCTGTGTTCAGCACCATCTGGGGGGTCCTGTGTTCAGCACCATCTGGGGGGGTCCTGTGTTCAGCACCATCTGGGGGGGGTCCTGTGTTCAGCGCCATCTGGGGGGGGGGGGTCCTGTGTTCAGCACCATCTGGGGGGTCCTGTGTTCAGCACCATCTGGGGGGGTCCTGTGTTCAGCACCATCTAGGGGGGGGGTCCTGTGTTCAGTGCCATCTGGGGGGGGGGTCCTGTGTTCAGCACCATCTGGGGGGTCCTGTGTTCAGCACCGTCTTGGGGGGGGTCCTGTGTTCAGCTCCATCTGGGGGGTTCCTGTGTTTCAGCGCCACCTGGGGGGTCCTGTGTTCAGCACCATCTGGGGGGGTCCTGTGTTCAGCACCATGGGGGGGGGGTCCTGTGTTCAGCACCATCTGGGGGGGGGGTCCTGCGTTCAGCACCATCTGGGGGGGGTCCTGTGTTCAGCACCATCTCTGGGGGGGTCCTGTGTTCAGCACCATCTGGGGGGGGGGTCCTGCGTTCAGCACCATCTGGGGGGTCCTGTGTTCAGCACCATCTCTGGGGGGTCCTGTGTTCAGCACCATCTCTGGGGGTCCTGTGTTCAGCACCATCTGGGGGGGGGGTCCTGCGTTCAGCACCATCTGGGGGGTCCTGTGTTCAGCAGCATCATCTGGGGGGTCCTGTGTTCAGCACCCATCTGGGGGGGGGTCCTGTGTTCAGCACCATCTCTGGGGGGTCCTGTGTTCAGCACCATCTCTGGGGGGTCCTGTGTTCAGCACCATCTGGGGGGGGGGTCCTGTGTTCAGCACCATCTGGGGGGGGGGGTCCTGTGTTCAGCACCATCTCTGGGGGGTCCTGTGTTCAGCACCATCTCTGGGGGGTCCTGTACTCAGCACCATCTGGGGGGTCCTGTGTTCAGCACCATCTGGGGGGTCCTGTGTTCAGCACCATCTCATTATCATTACACAGAGAGAGGTATACGAGTAAAAATCATGGCTGGATTTAGGGGAGTGCCCCCCCAGATGTAAATTGTGGTTCCCCAAAGCAAGATCTGATACTTTACCGCCTTAATCTGACACTTTACCGCCCTAATCTGACACTTTACCGCCCTAATATGACACTATACCGCCCTAATCTGATACTTTACCACCCTAACCTGACACTATACCGCCCTAATCTGATACTTTACCACCCTAATCTGATAATATACCACCCTAATCTGACACTTTACCACCCTAATATGACACTATACCCACACTAATCTGACACTTTACCACCCTAATCTGACACTATACCACCCTAATCTGATACTTTACCACCCTAATCTGATACTTTACCACCCTAATCTGACACTATACTGATCTCAGGTATGCGGTGTATGGAGAGGAAGAGTTCTGCTGCCTGTGCCCAGGCTGTGTGCAGTGCAGGGATGGGAGAAGGAGCTGTGCCCCTGTCCTCTGCCCTTCCAGCAGTGACCCCCGTCCTCTGCCCTTCCAGCAGTGACCCCCATCCTCCGCCCTGCCAGCTGTGACCCCCGTCCTCTGCCTCGCCAGCAGTGACCCCCGTCCTCTGCCCTGCCAGCAGTGACCCCTGTCCTCTGCCCTGCCAGCAGTGACTCCTGTCCTCTGCCCTGTCAGCAGTGACCCCTGTCCTCTGCCCTGCCAGCAGTGACCCCTGTCCTCTGTCCTGCCAGCAGTGACCCCTGTCCTTCGCCCTGCCAGCAGTGACCCCTGTCCTCCGCCCTTCCAGCAGTGACCCCCGTCCTCTGCCCTGCCAGCAGTGACCCCCGTCCTCCGCCCTGCCAGCAGTGACCCCCGTCCTCCGTCCTGCCAGCAGTGACCCCGTCCTCCGCCCTGCCAGCAGTGACCCCTGTCCTTTGCCCTGCCAGCAGTGACCCTGTCCTCTGTCCTGCCAGCAGTGACCCTGTCCTCTGTGCTACTTATCCCCCCATCCTCTGCCCCCTGACATTTTGTACTGCACCCGCCATCAGACAGACTAGATCCATCCCTGGTTATGAGGACATGTTGGCTGGGTAGCAGGTGAGCCGAGTGCCATGGATGTTCTTGTTGGTGTAGAGCGCCCCCTCCTGTGTAATCCCATGATGACAGGTCTGTACAATGCATTGTACCTGGCAGTCCCCGTCATGCAACAGACATCGAGCACAATGCTGTTGTTCGGTCCGTCCGTCTCCCAGGTGCCAATCCCAGATGTCAGATTCCCGTCACCTCTTTATTCAGTCAAATATCTAATAACGAATACTGATTTAGTCCAGAGGGGGATAATGAGACCGGAATGGCTGCAGAAACATCAGAAGCCAGAAAGAGTCTCGAAGGGGTCCGGTGTCCCCATAAGTTTGTGTGTTTTATAGCGCCACCTATCTAGGGGGGTTAAAAATGCAGTCTAATGCAGGCCATACACGGGTCAAATTCCAAACGATTTTTCGTCTGAAAATCTTGAAAAAAACGTTCGCTCGGTGATCCGATAGCGCCATCAATTTTGAAAATCGGCCGACCGAGTCATAAAGTTCACCCCATATAAGAGGCGGAACTTCTGTTCCTTCCAAGTCACGGCTCACGCATATTCTTTTCGGGAAAACGATCGTACGATTTGACCATCATTGAGTCAAATATCGGTAGTTTTTCACGATATTTCCAACATGCCCAATCACCAAAAAGGGGAGGAACCACGGAAATCGATGGGTGCCATTGACCCACTAACAGAGCAAACACCAGCCGATTATTCTTAGGTCCAATTTTCGGATGAAAAATCGGTGGAATTTCAACCCATGTATGGCCGGCCTAAAGCAGGTCATAGACGGGTCAAAAACCAGCTGTTTTTAAAAAAATAAATTTAAAAATTGGTCGTTCGATTAGCCGACGTTACCACCAACAGTAAAAAAAATCGGCCGATTTTCGTCCCGTCTACTGCCGGCATTTAACCCCATAATGACTTCTGTCCCTGCAGAGAGCTCCGCTATTATGTTTTATATGAAAGTATTGTGGTTGCAACAATGTATCCATTTGTATCCATTTGTATCCATTTGTATCCATTTGTATCCATTTGTATCCATTTCGGATACAGATGTTTTTTATTTGGATACAAATAGATACATTGTTGCAACCGCAAGACTTTCATATAAAACATAATAGTGGACTGGAATTCTTCTTTTCTTCCTTTTACTTCTTCCTCTTTTTCTGCATCTACTTCCTCTTTTTTCTTTTTCTTCTTCTTTTTCTTCCTCTTCTTTTTCTTCCTCTTTTTCTTCCTCTTCTTTTTTGTCTTCTTTTTTTCTTCCTCTTTTTCTTCTTTTTCTTCTTCTTTATTCCTCTTTTCTTTTTCTTCTTCTTTTTCTTCCTCTTCTACTTCGTCTTCTTCTTTTTCTTTTCTTCCTCTTTTTCTTCCTCTTCCTCTTTTTCTTCCTCTTTTTTTTTCCTCTTTTCTACTTCTTTTTCTTCCTCTTCTTTTTCTCCTTCTTTTCTTCCTCTTTTCTTCCTCTTTTCTTCTCTTTTTTCTTCTTCTTTTCCTTCTTCTTTTTCTTCTTATTTTTCATCTTCTTTTTCATCTTCTTCTTTTTTCTCTTCTTTTTCTTCTTCCTTTTTTTCTTTTTTTTTTCTTCTTCCTCTTTTTCTTCTTTTTTTTTTTTCTTCCTCTTTTTCTTCTTCCTCTTTTCTTCCTCTTTTTCTTCTTCTTCTTTTTTTTCTTCTTCTTCTTTTTCTTCTACTTCTTTTTCTCCCTCTTTTTCTTCTTCTCTTTCTTCTCCTTTTCTTCTTTTTTTCTTCTTCAGGTCACGGCTCATGCACAGATTTTTTTATCGGTAAAACAATCGGCCGATTTGCCCATCATTGCCAGGAAAATCGTCCACTCGTCAAAATCGGCCACATATGTTCCAACATGCCCAATAAAAAAACGTGCAAAAAGCCCAAAAAAACAGCCAACCAATTAACCCACTAACAGTGCAAAAAATCGTCTGATTTTCGACCCGTCTGTGGCCGGCATTAGGCAATCAATCCAACTTTCCGTGGCTTAAGGTGTGCTCATGTAGGCTAGCATTTGTATTAGACGTAGACGGGTCTCCGGCCATTTGCAGATCGTTCGTCTTTTACGTTGGATTGTTTGTCTCATTTTTAACCTTTTTATGGCTTGTTATGCTTTATATTCCAGCTACATTTGCCTCTATGATGAAGCCCCCGCTGGGCGAAACATGTTACCGGGGGTTCTCCCATGGGTAGGAGACCAAGCTGAAGACATTTTTTTTTCACCAACAATCGCTTGCTATATGTTGAGGCCGTGTCCGGATGGGCGCCATTTTGTTGTAGTCCTCGAGGTGTCTGAAAAGCCGTTATTCAACCCAACCGGCATCTAGAAACGGTGTGGCCAATCAGCTGGGATGCCCGGTTGGGGCGTTGGAGCGATATCACTTGTATTTGGTTGTTGGTCACTAAATGATTATTTGTTACTTTGTGACACGGTGATTAACAGCTGTATACATAACATTGATCCAGGGAATATCCGATCATTGATCCAGGGAATATCCGATCATTGATCCAGGGAATATCCGATCATTGATCCAGGGAATATCCGATTATTGATCCAGGGAATATCCGATTATTGATCCAGGGAATATCCGATCATTGATCCAGGGAATATCCGATCATTGATCCAGGGAATATCCGATCATTGATCCAGGGAATATCCGATTATTGATCCAGGGAATATCCGATTATTGATCCAGGGAATATCCGATCATTGATCCAGGGAATATCCGATTATTGATCCAGGGAATATCCGATCATTGATCCAGGGAATATCCGATTATTGATCCAGGGAATATCCGATTATTGATCCAGGGAATATCCGATCATTGATCCAGGGAATATCCGATCATTGATCCAGGGAATATCCGATTATTGATCCAGGGAATATCCGATCATTGATCCAGGGAATATCCGATCATTGATCCAGGGAATATCCGATTATTGATCCAGGGAATATCCGATTATTGATCCAGGAATATCCGATCATTGATCCAGGGAATATCCGATTATTGATCCAGGGAATATCCGATTATTGATCCAGGGAATATCCGATCATTGATCCAGGGAATATCCGATTATTGATCCAGGGAATATCCGATTATTGATCCAGGGAATATCCGATTATTGATCCAGGGAATATCCGATTATTGATCCAGGGAATATCCGATCATTGATCCAGGGAATATCCGATTATTGATCCAGGGAATATCCGATCATTGATCCAGGGAATATCCGATTATTGATCCAGGGAATTTCCGATTATTGATCCAGGGAATATCCGATTATTGATCCAGGGAATTTCCGATTATTGATCCAGGGAATATCCGATTGCCTCTCGGGGGATCAGGAAGGACTTTTTTCCCCTGTAGGAGCAAATTGGATCGTGCTTTGCTGGGTTTTTTGCCTTCCTCTGGATCAACTGTGGGGTGTAGAATTATTACTTTTTTTTTTTTTTAATGGTTGAACTGGATGGACTTTTGTCTTTTTTCAGCCAGACTAATGCAGGCCCATACATGGGTCAAACTCCAAACGAATTTTCTTCAGAAAATTTGAATTTTTGTGCATTTGTTAATCCAATGGTGCCAAAATTGATTTCAAAATTCGACCAACCGAGCCTTCAATTTATGTATTTCAGGTACTTCTATAGTGCCCTCAGTTTCTGCAGCACTTTACATTTATATTGTACATTCACATCAGTCCCCACCCCCGAGGAGCGTACAATTTAAGGTCCCGAACTCAGATTCATACATACACATACTAGGGACAATTTAGACATTAGCCAATTACCCTACCAGCATGTCTTTGGAGTGTGGGAGGAAACTGGAGTACCCGGAGGAAACCCACGCAGGCACAGGGAGAACATGCAAACATCAGGCAGGTGGTGTCCTGGTTGGGATATAAACCAACAACCCTAGTACTATAGGCTAAGAACATTCGGCCACAAGCATTGACATTCACCGTTAGAGAAAATAGACGAACACTATAGGCTAAGAACGTTCGACCACGAGCATTAACATTCACCTAAGAACATTCGACCATGAGCATTAACATTCACTGTTAGAGAAAACAGACAAACACTATAGGCTAAAAACATTCGACCATGAACATTAACATTCACCTAAGAACATTCGACCACGAGCATTTACATTCACCTAAGAACATTCGACCATGAGCATTAACATTCACTGTTAGAGAAAACAGATAAACACTATAGGCTAAAAACATTCGACCATGACCATTAACATTCACCTAAGAACATTCGACCACGAGCATTAACATTCACCCTAAGAACATTCAACCATGAGCATTAACATTCACCCTAAGAACATTCGACCATGAGCATTAACATTCACCTAAGAACATTCGACCACGAGCATTAACATTCACCTAAGAACATTTGACCATGAGCATTAACATTCACCTAAGAACATTCGACCACGAGCATTAACATTCACCTAAGAACATTTGACCATGAGCATTAACATTCACCTAAGAACATTCGACCACGAGCATTAACATTCACCTAAGAACATTCGACCACGAGCATTAACATTCACCATTAGAGAAAACAGATGAACATTCGACCAGCAGGGAAAAAATGATATGAGGGAGACTTCTGCACTGTGTGCAGTCAATGGTGAATATTGGGTGAATGTCCAAACAATCCTGCAGCCTGCAGAGTGAGGTGAGATATTTAGCAGTGATAGTATTACCACTGCTGAATGTGAGAGAATCCTCCAGGTTGTTAGGGAGATGGCACCTGCCAGCGTCCTAGCAACCAGTGACAGTTCTCCAGCACCTTCAGCTGTCTGAGAATTCCCAACTGACATCTGACTGAAAACAAACATCGGGGATAGTGTAAAGAATCCATGGAGCTGGCCGAAACCAGCTCTTGAGGGAGTCTATTCCACATTCTCATAGCTCAACTTGTTA